TCTTTTTTTTTTTTTTTTTTTTCCCATATCATTGATATTCCTTGCATGGTGATTATTTAATAGACAAGTTAAATATTTTTAACGAAGCCTTTTATTCTAGAAGTTCAAAATAATATAATTTAGTTAATTCCTTAATTAAAACTTCTCAAATTTCTACTCTACAAATACTCTCATTTGAAAATAAATATGCCACATAGTATATAAGTGAGGCCAATTTTGGTAAGGTCAAAGAAAGTTACGCATACCGACTAAATTATATTTTCAGTAAATGCATGCAAAATCAAGTCACCAATTGCAACAAATTCATTTAAATTCTTTAAACTGCGTTGACTCAAGAAAATTTGCAATATTTTTAGTTAATTGAATTTCAGACTTTCAATATTATATACGTATAGTCAATTCAATGCCTTGTATTGCCCTGCCTTACTACTCTATGATTTGTTTGAGCCTCATTTTGTTCTTATTAATAGATTTTGAAATTGTTTTTTCAAAATGAGAGGTTAAAAGGTAGAGAAAAATTTTGATTTTACGTGTAAAATCATTTTATTTGGAGAATGTATAGCTTAAAATGAGTTCAGAGAAAAATGAATTTTTTAAAATATGAGGATCAAACAAGTGCTACACTTCGCATCAAATTTAACAAAGGAAGGACACGGAAATTTGTACTTGGGTTTGTTTCCTGTTAAGTGCAACCTTATTGTATATTACTGACCATGGCTGACTAATAATGTGTTACCAATGTGAAAGCAAGAATGTAAGAATGTATATAATATTAAATCGAGAATAATTCTACCTAACACTATTAAAGTTAGAACATTAGTCTAAGTGTGACTATGTAATGAGTTTGATAAAGAGAAAATCATATGACTCGTTTAATTGTTCCTTAAATTTAATGATTTAAGTACTACATAAATCGGTATTGTAACATTAATGGTGCTATACAACATTACTCTGATGATGCACCACATAAATAAATTTAGCTTACAAGACACTTTGTGACGTTCATTTTGTGTTACGTGCTAGTTGTGAACTAGTTTTTCTTGTAAGACTTCAACATTTAATGGTTGACCAATTGCTTTATCACTAAATTTTTGAAGAGCAATAGGAGATTAAATCTTATAGAATATTGCGTGTATTTGATATTTATCTAGAGAGATATCGCTTTCAAATTTCAAGTTTTTAGGGGAGTCTAGCATGTTTTTGCTAAGGTTTTTATGGACAAATCACATCAACCTTTTACTTATAAGTTAAAATTACAAAAACACTCTTTAAGTAGGATTTCTGAATGTCATAAACAAAAAAATAAATCTAAATTTTTCATCTTAAAATAAAAGGAGAGAACAAACTTGAAATAAATAAAAATAGACGACAAAGATAAATTTATTTAAACAAAAGATTACTTCGATTTATATGCTTTAATTTATTTCCTCCAAATCCCTATAAATACACCCGGACTCTTTCTCACTTCTACAAACCAATGAAGATTCCTTCTTTATAACACTTTAAATTTTCAAATTGAGCTACTTCAACATAATATTACTGTACACATTTTGCGGATATTCATCTATGTAAAAATGGGACATATGCTTCTCTACCCAACAATTATTTCCCAATTCGTACTCATTTTGGAATAACTAAATACTAAGGAGTGAAATTTGATTGAGAGGAACTGAGGAAGAGAACGCATGTGTGACAAAGTTTTAGGGTCTGTATGACAAAGTTCATACAAAAGTTTAACATATTTAGATAAAAGTTATGGATTCTATGAAAGTTATGGTTAAATTGAAGTAATTAGCGTGTGTATATGAAGAAACATGTTAAGGGTCAAATTTAAATAAATAAATGTATCCAATCTATAATAACTTAAACTTCTTAGTAAGTTGGTTTAACATTTTCAAATTCGTCCATTGGACTAATTTAAAAAATTGACATTCTTATGGATGGATAAATCTTTCACTAAGCAATAGATCATTTGACATTGCAAAACATCGTAAAAAAAAATTCATAGTTCAAGGTCCCATGCAGGCTAGTCCTCTTCCTGCACACCCCTCAAAATATAGTCCATAAGGGACCATTAGGAACCTAGTTTATGGTGACAACTAACATGATAAACATATTTAAATCCATTCCTCACCGGACTTCCGAGACAGCGCCATGGTCCATGGGGGCCATTTGCTCCTCTTCAATAACGTAGGCCCCTCCCTCACCCCCTCCATGCCCTCTCATAATTAATAATTTATTATTCCACCACAATCATAAAACCTTTAAAAGTTTATCTTATTCCACAATCCCCCCTCCAACCTCATCCTCAAAACTTCGTCTTTCAACTAAGTTTGGCCATTAAAGAAATTAAATCTCTCTCATTGAAATTAAATTGATTCCATGGAAGAATAGCGATTAAAAAATTATGTTTCAATAATGAAATTGATAGAATTTATTCTCATTCACAACCCTGGCAACATAAATTTTTGAAATAAACATAAAAGTCTATTCAAAAATATCATTTCAGAATTTTTTTCATAAAGATCCATACAAGAAAAATGAAGCTTCTAGTACCGCATGAATTAGTTTAAATTATATCAATTTACCTCCATGAGAGATAGAAAGACGTTCCAAAAGAAAAAAGAAAAGGAAATGGATGAAGAATTGGGAAAAACTCTCAGTAATTTCCATAATTTCAGCACCCTTAAACTACCATCTAGGCAAGGGATAAGGGATATAGAGGAAACATGGGATTGAGGGATGTTGAAGTGAACCAAGAGAATGGGGGTACTGATTCACATGTGAGGAGACTTTCAAGGACTTTAGATTTTGCGCAGTCGGAAAGATGAGTGATCTGTGTAATGGTTTTAGATTTTCAATACTTTATAAAATCATTTTGTAGTATCAAAAGATTTTATGGAAATTCTATGTGGGCAAGTTTTGTTTTTATTCTGGAGTTTTCATTGAGACTATGGCATGCTACTTCATTGTGTCACGAAATGTTATTTTGGTTTATTCACACACACACTACTTCATTGTGTCACGAAATGTTATTTTGGTTTATTCACACACACACTACTTCATTGTGTCACGAAATGTTATTTTGGTTTATTCACACACACACTACTTCATTGTGTCACGAAATGTTATTTTGGTTTATTCACACACACACTACTTCATTGTGTCACGAAATGTTATTTTGGTTTATTCACACACACACTACTTCATTGTGTCACGAAATGTTATAGCACTTCTTGGTGGCTATGTTGTTCTTCTGAGAGTGTAAATATTGCCAACTTGCTGATGTAATCTAAATAGTGGACTTTAATTGAAAAGTCAACAAAACAATTGTTGAGTATTTTCAAGTACTTTTGGGTCATTGGTTTGGTCCAATATGTGGATTTGGTCTAATATGTGGATTTGGTCTTTGAGCCCAAAATAGGCTTTAGAACAATTTGAAGGCCCAAAAGACGTTGGGAGTTGATGTGGGATTTAATGGAGAACCCAACGGTTCTTGTGCCACAAAGCATGGATGGGAAATTTTGTACTGATAATTGAGTTCAAATGCTAAGGGATTAAAGTTATTCCACTTACAAGTTGGTACTTAATACTGACAAAAAATGTGCTGAACCTGAACATCTCTTCTGCCTAAGAAAATACAAAATCATTCCTAAGGGCACGACACAATGGTAAAGTAGGAGAGTTCTCTACGGAGCATCAAAGGTTTGAATCCCTGCAACAGCTAGAAGATAAAATTAATGTTGGAAAGCAGATGTCCTGCGGAGGTAAAGTTATGGTGCGCTTTATCATCCTTCCAGATGTTCTATCCGCACATCGTAAATAGAGGCTCGCAGGGAAAAGAACCGCATCCCGAATGTCCGGTCTAAGTGTGTATAAGTTGTGACTGCATCCGAATTTACCTAGGTGGCAAACCAGGAGGAAGGCTGTCACTCCTCAAGATTAGTTAGGTGAGGCTCGGACACTTGAGTCATCAAAAAAAAAAAAAATACAAAATAATTCTGTAGCTCAGAGATTACAAGTTCGATTCGTACAACATTAGCCGTATGATTTGAGGTGAAAAATTTGGCACCTCAAGCTTGGAGTGTGAGAACTCTTGGTTGCAGATTGCTCGAACTTTTTCCTTGCAGCTTCATTCTCATCTAAGCTTGTCAGGACGAAAAACTTTCCCCACCAAGATGAGCTCCTCATTTTTGCCTGGACATATGAAGCAGTCATATGATCATTTTTTGCTCGAATTATTACATCGTTATGCAATTATAGAAACACCAACCAGATTCACATCCTGACGAGGGTAGATTGACATCTTAACTTCACTGTCCCTTCAATAAAACTATTCCACTATACCCATAATCATAGTAAATTTTGTTTAAACCACAAAAACAAGATCTGGCTACAATGTACAAGAAATGAAAAGTTTCACTTAATTGTTTTTACATGGACTAGGATATGATCGTCAACTAGGTGTCCAAGTGTTTGGATTCATCAAATTTCTGAATCTGAATTTATATTCACACATTAACTTAATTTCGTGAAATTTAAACATCTATAATATGCATACGAAAGTACTGTGGAGAAGGAAAATATTTGGGCATATTTCCCAGTTTTTGTTCGTGGCAAACTACTCAGTTCGTAACTGTCAATGTATCTAGAATATATTTCAAACATTCCATGTTTAGGTGGTAAAATTAGACATCTAACAGAATGAAATCCACCATGCAATATCAGCTTACCTGACGGCCAAACTTGGACAGTTCTGGTACTTTAGCTCTTGAAATACCTGGATGACCCATACGAAATAATCAAAGGTAAATAAGATAACCTCGTATATATATGTGCAGAATAATCCTTGGGGTAAATTTATGGAATGGTTTAAACTTAACATGTATTCATCAGAATACACACTTCTCCAGTGTATTGATTAATCAATACATTTTGAGATATGACTAAATTTGAGGAAATTACCAGTAAAAATAACAAGACTGGTACTCGACACTCTTGCTAAATCTGGAATAGTCTTTTTCAGGTACTTTGAAGACGGATAATCTACAGCATCCGATATGACAACAACGGGAGAATGATTTAGCCGTATATGGTACAGGGAACTTAATATCAGAAACGCGCACTATGCCCTTATGCACTAGACTTTTGCAACTCCATCCTCTATATCATATGGTTCAACAACCCATGCTTCTGTTTCTTATTCTTTTAACAATTTAGAGACCACTGAACAAGTATCTGGTCCAACATGCAAAACTCTGCAAATACTGTCACCGTATGCTGTCTTTAAATATGGCATTTCCCTCTGAACTTCTGATGTGCATGTGAAATCACCTACAAATGTTATAACGGTAGTGCTTAGTTTGGCTCTGTTTCTATGATATCACAATAAATAAGATTATTTGATGCAAATATTTATTTTAAAAAAAATAAATAAAAGTTAACCTTCAATTCTAGCAAGTGATTCCTTGACCTGGGCTAGATCTAATTAAGAAAGATGATGGTACGTAAGAATGAAACACTTGGTGCATGTTTGGCACATAGTACTAGATAAGATGATACTGACTATACTGTACAATGAGTCTACAATCAAATACGTGCTTGAGCCACAAAAAGTATACCCAATAATGAGGATCAAGCCCTGAACATAGTGAAACAGAAACATTTTAGCATTTGAAACAGCAATAAATCATGTATAACTTTAATCTAGAATATCAAATAACCCGTACATAACAAAATGATTATAAAAATGATGATGGTTGTGAAATTAACTGAAAAGGAAACAAAAAATTAGTTCTGCAATTACCAGGAACATCAGGGTTTTGGAACGACGGGAGCTCAATTTTGGATGAAACATTCACCCCAAGCTGCTGGTAACAATACCTCGTTGAGTTGAACATGATGGCCTTCGCGACATAACTAAAATAACATGCCAGTCCAGAATATTTTACACTGGTGCAAAAGAAACAAGTAGATAATTAGAAGTAGGCCATAGAAATCCAACCATCATCAACTTTCACAAAGGGGATAAAGCACTGGGGAAAAGTAGGATCATGGGGTTATCTAAAAGATAACATTTTTGATCAAGCTGATAACAGATTAGATTCAATGTTTTGATATGATAATTGTATGTATTGTAGAATTTTCTAGCAAAAAAGTTACCTGGATTTCGGAAATTAATACATAAAAGAAGCAGCCAGAAAAATGAGAGCAACTGGACTATTAACCAAAACATGAGACACATGCACAAAAAAGCCTAACCAATATAATTACTAAAAGCCATTTGTAGGATTAAACAGGAGTGAACTCTATACTGTGATCATTGATTACAGTTTGTTACTTGGAGCAATTAGATTCAGAAGAAAGAGCAGACATAGCAATGGATATTGTCGAGAAGTTGCATAATCAAGATTACCATCAAGAAACTACAATTTGGGGGAAAATAGTAATAATAATAATGATGATTTTACACAAATAAATCTGATATTAACCTCCAGGATTGGTGATGAAGAACAGACATGATAAAATTGGTGCCACACAGCTCCCTTTTTCCCTCTCCAAGTAAACTGCTCCTGATTTTTAGTGCAATATCAGTGGAAAAACTCATAGCTGTTTGTCCCGTTCTATTGCTCCATTAAGACATAAACATGCACTTGTGGATTAGATTGGGGTTTATATCATAGTTAATGCTTTTATACGTAAAATTTTACTCTTAATATGACCCCGTAATATGATAGCTCATTTGAGAAAATCAAATTTGAAATATGATTACTCATTCAAGCTTAAATTAAACTAATGATGCTTTTGTAGAAAAAGTGAGATGTATGTATCAAATTTCTTAAAGTTTTCAAGCATGAAATAATATTAAAAATAGGATAATTATTATGTCAATGTTTTACTTACGCGCGCACAAATTCTTAAGGCTAAAGTTTTGACTTCCATTTCTTGCGTCTTTTGAAACCTTGGTTATGATAATTTAGATTATAGAAAAGCAATCAATTCTGCTTGATCCTACAAAGCATGGATGGAATAATTTTGTATTAGCCATTGAGTGCAAATGCAAAACGATTTAGAGTTATTTCCCCTTACAATTAATACTAAAAAAAATGTGCTAAACCTGAACATCTCTTTGCCTAAGAAAAACAAGTTACTCTATAGCTCAGAGATTATATTTGAACAGTACGGATAACGGGATTAGTCGTGCAATTTGAGGTGGAAGTGTTGGTGCCTCGGCTTGGCTATAGATTGCTCTAACTTTTTCGTTGCAGCTTCATTCTCATCTTAGCCGGTAGGGATGAAAATCCATCCCCACCAACACAAGCTCATCATTTTTGCCTGGACATATGAAGCATTCATAAGGTCAATTTTCGCTCAAAACATTACGTTGTTATGCAATTATATAAACACCAACATGAATGACAATCTGACAAGAATTGATTGACATATTGTGAATTTTCATCTTACTGCCCCTTTTATTTAAATTATTCTATTAAACTTATAATCTTCATAATCTAAATTCACATAAACAAGTTCTATCTACAACTTATGAGAAATGATTCATCTCACTTCTTCATTATTTACATGGACTAGGGTATGATCATCAACTAGGTGTCCAAGTGTGAATGAAACCGAAGATGAGGGGCATTTCTTTGGCCAACAACTTGGTGTCCATCTGATTGGTCATCAAGAATTCACCAAATATAATGCTTAATAGAGATTAGCTTTCGAAAGGGAGTCCAGCCAGAGCCCAACTGTACGACGAAGATTCTCGGCGGGCAATCAGGATTCCTGTTCAATTCAGTGTCATTGTTAAAGTTACTACCTTTGCCATGTCTTCTGGGTAAGACACAGGCGGAAGAACTAATCAGAGACCAAAAGAAAAGGAAGCTTATGCCTGCATTGCAGCAGAGATTTACACAATTCAATCGCCATGATCTACATGAATGGCACTAAATTTTCTTGCAAGAAAATTTTTAGATATGAAAAAGGAGTTTATATGGTTCAGTAACTTTCAGTGACACTGACGTTCATATAGACAATTATAACTGAATGGCGCTAAGCTTTTCTAAAATTTAAAATGCAATCTTTTATACCTCTATATAAGAGCTTGTCCGAGTTGCACCCAAGGTTTTCTTTTCCTTTTAGCTTTGAAATCTTTCAGTTCTATCAGCACATGCACCACATGCAGACGACTCTGTTAAATAGAAATTTTGTGCAATGCCAGGTGCTTACGAATAGGAAAGGGCAGCAGAGATTCAGAGAAGCAATCCTACATGATTACAAAGAGAAGCAGTTAAAATCTAACAAAGATGGAAAGAGAAATCTTTGCTGAACAATCACACCAATTACAAAATGCAGCTTTTTCAAAGTCGAGAGTGTACTCCAAAACAAATAGGTTAGAGTTCAAAAGGGAAGAAAACAGCTCACAATCAAGTCAGAATACACGAATTAAGTAAAGAAAATGGTATCAATTAAGAAGATATACTTTCTCGTGCATTGAAAATGCCAAACAAACGGTTTAGGTTGAAGACCAACGAAAATGGCAAACCACAAAGAAAGGTTTGTGGAGGAATTAAGTCGAGAAAAAGGTATCAATTTGCACTACTAAAAGAATGAAGAAAAGGATAGAGTTGGTGGCTTGTGGGTCAGTCTTAGTCTGACGTAGTTGAACCAAAGCCAGAAAGTATGCTTAGCTTGGGTCATGTAACAAATCGTAGATTTGCCCATAACCTATGGAGCCCCAACCAAAGCAGGCTATATGCTCCAACAGAAAGTAAAATCTTCATCCGAAAGAATCGGAGAGAAGTACCAAGGCTCTGGGGAGAGGTGATTTAGACACACTCATGAGTATTCGACAACGAGTTCATCTACAGGTTATGACCACAAGTTTGAAATGATGCATAAACATCATAAAGTGAACACAGAACATAGGATGCTCTCAACATGAAAAATATCATACTATGCCTATGTTGTAATGCTGTGATATCAAAGAAAGTGCTCCAAAAATATATTCTGATGAAAAAATTCCAAAAGTTGCAAAATTCCTGCTGCAGATATGTACGTTTGACTCTCTACTGGTAATAATGATCATGACAACTCAATATCCATGGACAGGGGCGGACCCAACTTTGGCTCGGTGCAGGCAGTCAGTGCAGGCAACTGCCTGCACCAAGCTTTGGGACTGGGAGATGAAGACCCATTAATTTTGATCAAGAAGAATTTATCCACTTTTGAATTTATAGAGTAGTAAGAAAAATTCAAATGCATATGGAACGCTATAATTTAAAGGACAAATTTAAAGTTCGTCTCAGGTCTTGAAAACTCCAAGCTCGACCTAGATTGAATTTCACCCACACTAAACAATATTCCTGGCTTCGCCCCTGTCCATGGACTCTTGATGGAACAAGAAGCATATGATTGCCAAGGTGGGCACTTGATACAGACATAAAGTGGATCGCACATTACTAAAGGAAGAGTTAAGTGACTGTCCATTTAAGCTGTTAGCAAATGGCAGATTTTGCAGTGCAGGTGCATAATGTGTAGATCCTTCTGAGAGTATCGCCATTAGCAATGTGGGTTGTGAGCCTGAATCCATGTTTCTAGTTGGATGTGGTTTTTGGGCCTGAATCCCATAGAAACAACCAAAAGTCTCATCTACAGTAACTACCCGTGCATTGTCCCCTGCTCCTATGAAATCAATCTGGCTTACAAGGTATATCAGTGAGAGGGAGATTGTTGTACGGTTGCGTGTAAACTAGGAAATAATGCAATAATGTCCAATATACCATAACAACGTTTGATTTACTTCGACGGTTGAGCAATCAAGGGCTTAAGATTCTGAGTCAAAGTTGAGTTCTAAACTGTAAGCGCGAGTACATTAACACCTAATTATGTTGCGTAGTCTCACTATGTTTTCAGATCTTATTCATAATGGTTCAGGTCCAAATTTTAAAAACACATCAACTTAATTATTCTACAAACTAATAAGATAGCATAGCAAGCTGTGCAAGTTAAAAGAACTCACAATTTGTCTGCTTCCTTTGGACAATCTGTCATCACCAGAACACTCAGTTTTGTTTTGAGGTCTCCCTATATTCACATCACAAGGTATTATCCTTTGTACGACCCTTTCCCCATTGTCGACGGCGTGCTCTCCTCTTCCTCCCATCCTTCTTTGCCTTAGCTTTCTCTTTCAAGTCTCTTTCACCACGTCTCTTGTACATCTTGAATGTCATCTGTCTCTCTGCAGCCATTTTCCTCACTTTCTCTGTGATCTCTGCAGCAATTTGTCTATTATACAGCTTTCTTAGACCACGCATAAGCTTGGCAAAGGTATCTGGCTGAGGCATCACGCCAGCATCCATCATATCCAGACAGTAAGAACAGGCTTCCTTCACATGCCCATTTGAGAAGAGAGCATGAATCCAAATGGTCCATGCATACACATTAAGCTCACATCCTTTCGTCATAATGCAACTCCAGACATCTTTAGCCATTTCAAGCTTATCCACTCTCAACAGAGAATTCAACAAGTCTTTCAGAGTACCATACTGTGGAGCAGCCAAAAGGCCTCTCCCAACCATTTCTTTGAAGTGATCACAAGCTTCGATTAAACATCCTTGCTCAACAAACCCATTGATCATGATGACAAAGGTGTCAACACCTGGACTCATGCCATTTGCTTCAATTTCACTGAAAACTCTCATACCTTCTTTAGTTTCCCCCAGTTTGCAGGCCAAACGGATTATAGTATTGTAAATGCTCAGATCAGGCAATATGCCAATCTTTTGCATCTCGTTCAAAAGTTCCATACACTCTTCCAACTCCTCCTTCTTTTCATGAGCCAGCATGATATGCAAGTAAGTTGTCTGATTTGGAGTATGCCCTTTCTGTATCATGCTATCTACAAGATCATAACCTTTATCAATCATACCCCACTTACAAAATCCACTGATCAAGGTAGTGTAAGTCACAACATCAGCTTCACAGCCACTCCTCCTCATATCCATGAATACCCTCATTGCCTCCTCCATTTTCTCTCGAGCACAAAGTGCCTGAATAACAATTGTAAAGGATGTTGCATTAGGTTCACAACCCTTTTTCCTCATCTCTTGCAAAACATCAAATGCATCCACCATTTTCCCCGCCACCACATACCCATTAAGCAAATTATTATAAACCACAATATCAGGCTCAAAACCTGCTTCCCTCATTTTCACCAACACAAATTTTGCCTCCATCAGTTTCCCTTCCCTGCACCAACCATACAACAATGAAGTAAAATGCTTAATAGTGGGCCTAAACCTTATTCTCATATCTTCAAACAACAAAGCAGCTTCCTTTACACTACCATTCTTACACAAAGCATCCAACAAGCACCCAAAAACATACTCGTCAGGCTCACAACCATACTTGGGCATCTCATCCAACACTTCAATTGCTTTTTTAACCATCCTTGCCGACGCAAACCTTCTCATTAAAACAACAAAAACCTCAGGTGACACAATCTGAGGATTTTCCTTTCTCATCTCCTCAATTAGAGCCCAAACAGCTCCAAATTGTCTCATTTTCCCCAAAATCTTGATCATGGCTTTGTAAACATCATAACTATGCCGACAACCGGGCTGTTTTGATGCCCACACAAAGAATCTGTATCCTAAATTCCCTGCATCTCCACAGCGATTAAGCACACGTTCAGTTAAGCCAGACCTTACCACCACCCCAGATTCTTGCAGAGCAAGTTCCAATTTTGGGACTCTGGAATGGAATTTTCTCAAGATTCTGTACACCTTTTCAACATCAGAAGAAAATTCATCGTGCGATTTGATCTCTGTAGAAACTTCTGGCTCGTTGTTGAGGTAGATTAGGGCAAGCCCCTTCCTTGGCTCAGTGAGAGTACCATTTTGAGGGATGGTTTTGTTCAGTTCATGAGCTGGGATTGGTTTTGATGGGATTTCGGTTGAAACCAGACGAGAATAGGTGGAAAAGAGTTGAGATTTCGATGATTCAATGAATTTGATCGAGAAACTTGACCTTTTCTTGAGAATCTTTGGGTTTCCAGATGATAAGCAAGCATAGTACTTGTTGCAGATAACATAAAATTTCTTCGAAGAGACTCTGTGCATTTTTATAGCCGCAAATCTGCTCAGGTTCTTTTTCTACTGCATTTTTTGTACTTCCTAACACACAAGTGAGCAGACCGAGAATGGAGGCTGAAGTTTTAAAAAGTCAACGTATGAACAAAATTCATATAATGCACAAGTAAAAAGGTTACATGTATCAAAAATTCCCCCAAAAAAAAAAAGGGGGGGGGGGGGGGGGGGGGGGAAAAAAAAAAAAAAAAAAAAAAAAAAAAAAAAAAAAAAAAAAAGAGAGGGGGGGGGGGGGGGGGGGGGGGGAAGGGAAAAAAATCAATTTTCGAAAGGAAAAAAAAGGCCAATAACAAGCAGCAACCCACATTACTAATCACTTAAATAAATGCATAAAAACACAAACAAGCCCTTCACAGAAAGTAAAATTTACTATAGCATCTCAAAGTCGGGGTTTAATAAAAACAAATCATTGTTCTTTAAGAAAACCCACAAGAGAATCAAGAAAGGTTTAGAACATTTACTATAGGACATCACCTGATGGCGAATAGTTATTATATACTACCTCCAATACCATATATCTGACTCTCTGAAGAACACTATTCAATACACTATGCAGTAGGTTTTCACTATCAAAGTGCCATATAATTACAGGTCAACACAATTGCAACAACCAGTTTACAAATATTGATTGACTTATCAAATATTAATATGAATTGATTTAACCAACTAGGAAGATAGTGTCAAAATTTGAGTCCTACAACAAAAAAATGAAAAATCCCATAAATTTACCCCATGAAAACACTGAATTCCGGTTTAAATATACTGATAAATATATATTTCTTTCTCGGACGATTTACTTATACAAATTAGCAAAAATGAAACTCACTAGAGACAGTGGAACTGCCTAGGGAAGCACAGGGAGCTCCAACAAATCGAGGTATTTGGCTAAACCTGCTGGCTGCTTCCAAGCGCCGGCTACGGCTATAAACCGGCGGGTGAGGAGATAGTTTGGGCCTTTGAGGAGCACTACTCGCAATGTGCGCTAATATGATTTAATTTGAGCCATTTGAACTGAGGCTTGAGCAGTGGGGTTTTCATTGGCGTGGGCTACATCTTACTGGGCTAGGATTACCATGGGCTGAAGCCAGTCTAGCCTGTGCAAGGGTCCACGTTACGCACCAAGGTACAAGAACAATTGTACGACCCTTTAACAGAGTAGAAAGAGTGTGCGCACTCATCCTTATCTTGAATTGTACATAATAATGATATATTAAGCTTATGTTTGGACTTAAATATAATTTCAATATATTTTTTTTATCACACATTCTTTAAAATATATTATTCAAATTTTTTTTTTTCTAAAATCTCTTTAAAATGAGCCCAAACAAGGAATAAATCATTGCTATAAAATAATAACACAGTAAATTCCAATAATATTTTAGCTTATAAATTATATTAAAGTAATACTCCTTAATTTATTTTTGTATTAAATGGAAATATGGATATATTCAGATCAAGAATTTTTTTTTTAGATTAGATAAACGAAGGGCTCGAACAAGCCTATAAATAAGGAGGTAAAAAAAGATATCTTTGTATTGATTTTATTCAAAAGGCCCTTCTTATTTTGATGGTCTGGAGTGGTTACTATCCAGCCACGCCCCTTAATATTTGTTAACAAATTTTATGTTGAATATTCAATTATTAAATTGCGTGAAAATTTTATCAATTGATTCAGTACATCTGTCTATTAAATATTAAATAATTTAAAAACAAATTTAATAAATCTCATTATGTATTTTAAAACATTACTATTCTAATAATTTGCGAGTAAATGAACAGATTAAATATTAAACTTTATTTTTGTTTTTTTAAGTCAACAATCTAAGTGTCAAAATTATTTGTTTTATTTCTCAATTTATTTTAAAAATTAACGTTTGTAATAAGAGATATGCTACATGTATAGGTAATTTGACAGATTGAAAAAAAAAAACTAAAAAAACTAAAAACAAAAATCTTTCAAACTTTTTTTTCAATTTATGTTCCATCTATCGACGTATCTATCAAAATATTAAACTGCTTGTACAAGTAGCATAACACGTGTAATAATTAGTACTACTATCTACCAAATTTTATATTATGTTCATGGGCTATTATTAAAGTGATAATTGCAGTAGAAGTCTCAAAACTTTGAAACACTAGCAGAATTTTTTCAAACATTTGATTTGTTGTAGTCGTCTCTTATAACATTTCCAAACGTTGCATGTGAGGTCCTTTTAGTTCAAATCATATAGTAAACTCACACGTTTTAATTTAACAATGATTTGTTGACTTGGAATAATAAATAACGTCATTTGGTACTCGTGGCATTTAATGGTGTCACGTAGTGTTTAATGTTAATTTTTACCAACTGATCATTAGTATAATAGTTAGATTCTTGAGTACTATTACCAAAAATAAATAAATAAATGTTCAATGATCATTAGTATAATTACTCAAAACTTAAGTTACCACTAATTGTAATTACAATTATCCTATTTGTACATCAATTTTCACACTTCTCTCACAAAGGTGGGGTCCACGATTATTTTAATCGTGGACCCCACCCACTTGTATGTGTGTGTGCTGTAAAAATTGATGTGAAAATAAGTGTACAAGTAGAATGGTCCTTGTAATTAACCCGTTGTTGGAATTCATACTCTTAATCGTGGACCCCACCCACTTGTGTGTGTGTGTGTTGTAAAATTTGATGTGAAAATAAGTGTACAAGTAGAATGGTCCTTGTAATTAACCCGTTGTTGAAATTTATACTCTTGGTCTTAGGTCAAAACTTAAAAGGACTCTAAACGTGTAGGTGTGGCTCCTCTTTTTACCGGAACCACTTGAAGAACAATTACCCAAGTGCAAGAATGTTTGATTGCACAGAAGAAAGGAAGAAAGCGTTAAAAGTTAATTTGGATTTTCGTTTCAAATATTATTGGTCAAGATGAATCATGATCGACGAAATTGTGAAATCGTTGACTCATTAGTTCTAAAGTATGCTTTATTTCTTCTGGGCTCTTACCCCTCCCTCATAGACTGTAGAAGTACCTTGAATAAATAGGGGTGCGTGCACGGATACTTTTAGACCCTGTTTTTGAGCTCCATTATAATTGAATTTTGCAGAAAACGTATTTTAGAATAGTTATTATTATTATTATTATTATTATTATTATTATTATTATTTTGAGAATGTGTGGTTTAAAAAGAATGAAAATTTATAATTTTACGTGTAATATCATTTTATTGAAGAATACTTTAATGGAACCAAAATGGGAGCTTAAATAGAGACCTATAGAAATTATACGGCACATATTTTTGAGAGGTAGTGATTAGAGGGACTGCAAAGGCAATAAGAATTTAAAAGTGCAAGGGATAATTCATAAAACAAAAGAAGAAAATTTTTTGTAATAACTATTGATTATTTGTGTACGAGTTTTTTCCCGAATAATATTGTTTGCGATCGCTCACTACCGTAGTCGCCTTATGTGGCATACACGTGATTGTTAGTGATTTATTACATAAAATAATTAAAAATTATCACATTAATGTATCAAATCACTAAGTGTCACGTGTAAGTCACATAGGGTGACAATGGCAGTGAGCCGTTACGTCTAAGAAATCCAATTAATATATGAAATCCAGATGGGATTTGGAATTCCAAAATGAAATAAATAATGGCATAAACAAAGTATTTTGTTGGACCCTGAACATCATAACACCTAGTAGAGTAGTCATGAGACCACTATAATATCAACCCACCAACGCTAATAATGGACCACAATACATAAACATGAAATTCCAGTTGGATGATTCCTATTAATCCACAAACCTCCTCCAAAAACCCATTATGCATCTTCATCCATCCTCTATTTTTCTATAACCCTGCTACAGCCTACATGTGCACCTTTACTGACATAAAGTTTGACAGTTAGTGATCAAAGTGCATGGCACCTCATTCGACCAAGATGTAAACAGACATATGTACAAATAGATTAATTGAATTCTCCAATGGAGCCGGCTTGTAAATAAACATAAAACGAGATAACATTAACAGAAAAGTTCATTGAATTATCTCCATGATTAGATAAGCTTCAAAATCTTATATAATGTTATCATGCTGTATAGCCTGCCTGGTGCTCTTCCACCACCTCACAAATATGCTAATATTTGTCCATTCATGCATGTCAATTTGTGTGCGCCAAAAGAAAATGGACCTTATGATTGATATTTGCAAGGACAATCAAAGAATTTGGAGCAGTATGTTAGTAGAAACTCATAGTTAAGCTTTATACTTCTTTACACATTACTAATTCTCAAGAAAAATGCTAATTAGGAATACAGAACAAAAAGAAACGGCAATTGATTGTAATTACAGCAATCTCANACATTACTAATTCTCAAGAAAAATGCTAATTAGGAATACAGAACAAAAAGAAACGGCAATTGATTGTAATTACAGCAATCTCAATAATCAGGCATGATTTTCCCTTCTTCATTCTCCACTTTCTGCTCAGTAACTCTCAACCATATACAAACAGCACTGAAACTGAGGACCAAGCTCAACAACCCACTACCTAATCCGATCCCCACAATGGCCATAACCGATAGCCCTTTACTCTTCATCGCCGCCAACGGGTATCCGTAAAGATCCTTATTCCCTTCATAGGAACTCGCATTGAACCGTTGCAAGTTCCCGCTCCGGTTCTCCAGCGTCGCGGGTATAGGCCCGGAAAGTTTATTATTCGAAACGTCGAAAACGGACAGTCTCACAAGTAGACCGAGCTGCTGGGGAATAGTGCCCGACAGCTGGTTATCGTGTAAATCGATTATATTGAGATATGCACAAAGCGCCAGTTGCTGAGGGATTGGGCCAGATAGATGGTTTGATGAGAGATTTAGAACCGCCAAATTGACTAAATACTGAAGCTCCGGCGGGATAGGACCGGTCAATGCATTGGACGAGAGATCCAGAGCCTGCAAATTTGTGCAATTCGACAGATAGGGCGAGATTGTACCCTTGAGGGCCAAACTGGAGAGTGATAACTTGTAGATACGGCCATTGTTGCAGGTGGCGCCCTGCAGGTAGGAGGTGAATCCCTGGCAAGGGCTAGCGAAGGTGGCCCTAGTCCAGTTCTGCAAATTCTTTAATGGGTCTTGTAAGGACTCGCTCAGATGAGTTAGACACCGCTCGTCATTCGGATCCGCGGCGGAGAACGGCATAGCGGCGCAGCAGGTTAGCAGGGCCGCGGCCAGTATTTGGCCCCAAACACCCATTTTCCTCCGATGTGAGATGACAAAATGGCTCGCTTTCCTTGTAGACCTATTTCTTTGCCGTATTTGTGCAAATTAAGAATGCAAGAGTGTATTAATTAGCCTTTGTTCTTGTTTTGAGAGGAAGAAACTAACACAGTGGAAGAGGTTAAGGTTTGTATTTGCAATTATTCTCCTCTAACGTACCAGTGACAAGGGTATTTTAGGCATTTCATGCAGGGGAACCAATAAACCAATTGGCATGTTTACTAGGCAACCTTGTCCATCTGGGTCGATATCCGTGACTAGATATACATTTATTGAGCAGTAGTGCTTCAGAACCCAGAATTAAATTCCGAGTTTCAATCCTCGACCCTTGATCTTCAATCACTTGGAGCCTGCGCGATTTACATCGGCAGCCTCGACCCTTGGCTCCAAATCCGGGATTTTTATCTTGCGTTGAGCAGCATTATTCTTTATCGAGAGAGAAAATTTGCAAATGACACAAATAATCACGTGTAATCAATTAAATGAATGGTTCTACCGCGTGTGGATAGATCCATGCACGTTGATTCTAAATGTTGTAATCTTACTTAACTAAAAGTATATCTATTTCCATATATCCACTCCAATTTATAACCATCTAAAAGAAGTCGTAATATGCTTATCGTTTTAAAATGCTTGATTATAAAATAAATATTGAGTGTAGTAAACTAAAATGAAAATTAACCCTACTCCTATCCAACGTCTCATTATCCTATTTATAAAATATCACGATAAATGTGATTTTTTGAGATGTTGAAGGCTATGCGATTGATATGTTTGTGTGAAGTATCAATGATTCTCTATGTGAATTGAAGACAATGTTGGTACCACTATGAGGTAAAGGTTGATTTACGCCCTTTTTGGTTGAAATGTCGAAATACAAATCGAAATTTTAGTGAAAGAGTATAGTTATATTTTCATGGACTTTGATCATACATGGAGTCAATTCATAATCTCTTTACTTTTGCATTTTTGATGAGCTAACTCATCTCGACACAAGACAACCATTAAGATCAACAATCTCTTTAGAATTTAAACAAAAAAGATTATTATATTGTTTGAGCCCCCTTTTTGGACAAAATGCATTTTAGAGCAATGTTTAATTGGAGAATATATGATTAAAAAGTAAGGAAAAAATTTTAGGTTTATGTGTAAAATTATTTTATACGAGAATGTGTGGTTGAAAATGAATTTTGAAAAAATAAATCTTTGAAAAATGGGAACCAAACATAGGCTAAAAATATTTTTAAATTTAGAGAGAGCTAAGTCCGACACTACCCGTCTCAGATAGACTAGCTCATCGCACATTACGTCTCAAGTTGTGTTGAGTTTGCATTGTGCTAGAACCGTTACTTACATTTCTTCTTAATTTTAAAAGTACATGAAATTAGGTGGACATCCAACCAGGGACGGATTTGGGGAGCCCAACAACTTTTTTTTAAAGGTATTTTTTTTTATTTTTGATAAAAAATCAGTTTTTTATGTGTAAATATTTTTTTTTCCACGCAGTAGTCCGTTTTGAAATTTTATAATTAGGTCTTGAATCTAATCTTGGATCCATCCATGCATCCAACTATATTTTTTTGACATGTTTAACTTGACCCTTTTTAACATTTCTAATCGAAGGACACGAGAAGCATGTGTTACTCTCTTCCCTCTACTCCATGTACGCAGGCTCAATTTTTTTTTTTTTTTTTTAACACGGTGTCCCAACTTACGCCAGACTATATCCTCGTCCCTGAACCTTCGGCCCCTCAGCAGCTCAAGGAGGTAAATCGCGGAATGTGCCCTTGTTGGTTCCCAAATTCCTACACGGCTTTTACTCCTTCCCTAAAGGGAGCCTCTTCACTCGTGTACGCAGACTCTAATTGAGCCTTCAGCTTGGTTCTCTTTCCCCTCAAAGCATTTGCACAAAAAAACAAAAAGAAGAAACTTCAATAAGAAAATGTCACAACTATCAAGATTTGACACCTTTTGATTTATGAACTGATAGTAACAATTGTCCATTTGTTGGAGGGGTCCATGAAATTGTTTTGCGATTTAAATTCGGTCTTCAACTTGAGACCAAGCCCTTTGTCGCCGGGAGATTCTTGGGTGACAAGTCCCTGGACACAATGGCTTTCCCCTTATCGCCAGAGTGCATATGCCCTGGTAACTGGGCCCTCAGACAACATTATGTATGTGATTTGGTCCTAAGAATTAAACCAAGTCTCCAACCAAACCTTGTCATTTAATAATAATTTTGTGGGTATATACCAGACGAAGCATTCTACGCGTGTGAGAGAGACGTGTGTTACTGGTCTTGTTGATAGTTCAGTGCCAACTTAAATTTTTGGAGTTATTAGGTAGTCAAGCAATAGCTTCCATTGTTATTGTAAATCCTCTGGTATGTAAAAATTTGTAAACAAACAATTTCGCATTATTACAAGCGGAGCTCCCCATATGCAACCTTGCAATTAAATTAAATATTGTCACATCAAACTATATTGGATACTAACATAATTATTAAGGTAAAATTTTGAAAACAGTAATTAACATATTGATCATAGTTGGAACCTCAAGAATCAATATAGTTTTGGAGTTTCGGAAACTCGAGCAAGTCATTCCATCCGTTTAATTGAGCAGTTAGGTTCCAAGTTCTGGGATCTCAAACGAGTTATTTGTTAAGGAATTTCATATTGAATATAAATAAAAATATAGACCAACTTATAAGGATTTGGCCACTCTTCTTACTAAAGTTGATATTTTAAGATGGAATCCCAAGTCTTAATATGATACCAGAATCCATTAAATTTCATGATCTGGACGTGAATGATTCGAATTACTTATCCCTCGGTCTATTAGTGAAGCATATATTATGGGGTGGGTGTAGGGCGGACGATTTTCAAGCAGACTCCCCATTCATTACCCCTTTCATTCTGGGGTGACGGAGGGATCGTACCATTCGAGCCCTTTTTTTCGATTCACTCGTGGGATCCGGGCTGTCCGGGGGGGGGGGGGGGGGGCCCCCCGGGGGGGCGGGGGGGGGGGGGGGGACCACCACGGCTCCTCTCTTCTCGAGAATCCATACATCCCTTCCATTATCAAGAAGTGTATCCACGGCTTCTTGTACTAATTTCTCCTGACACATTACTAATTCTTTCCATCGAAAGAAATGAGATTATCGCGGATACAACACATTAAAAAATTAGCCAAATTTTCCCAATGTAGAGGCAATCAAAAAAGCCGCATAAGTGAATTCAATTAGATGTTAATGTAAATGAACCATAACTATTTAGTCATATTCCTAATAGATTGACCCCAAAATCGTACAAATCTAATCTAATCTGATTCCTTTGAATTTCTTCATTTCCTATTTTCACAAAAAAATTATTTCTTATGTTGATTACTGGGGGTTAAGACTTAAAAACTAAATACACAGATTTCAAGATTGTTTTGTTCAAATGAACCACCATCTTGTGGGGCGAGAAAAATCTCATATCGAGTAAGATGAAACGATAAAACTTGGGTTATTCCTCTAAATAAGATTGTCATTTTAAAATGGATTCCCAAATTTTAACATTATTATCTCGTGAAGGCATGTTAACCATAAAATTTCCGATAACTTCA